CCCGGAGGTTTCAGACGCTTGCTTCTAATGCATGAAAGTGCGGATTCGGAACCAACTACTACTATTTTTCGAGTTTTATGTACTTTTTAAGATTAGGTATTTAGATACCACTGATAAACGGTAAAAGAAAACATCGTATTAAAATCTGGGCTTATAATTTCTAATTATAAGTTTGAAATCGCCAACCCGCATTCAGCAAGGTGATTAATGCTCAAACCTTTAAATTTCAATTTTCAAAATCAAATTCGAAACCTTCTTCGTGTGAAAAGAGGTCTTTGGTCAGCAGTGGCCGCTTCAAAGCTGTTGATAAATAGAATGTTTTAAAATTTCAATGAAAAATTCAAATAGAATATTCCAAAAAAATGGGCATCAAACTATATTATTCCAACAAATATTATTTTGCAGGGAACATTTATAATCGGCTTAAGGCGTAAAACTCTAGATATTCATTTTAAGCTGGTTCTGGACAACTTTGTAGTGTTGCTTTTTTAATGTTTATCCTATTATCTGCAAACTATTAAACTGTCAAACACCAAGCGGTCACCGGTGACCGCAACCTATTGTTCTATAATTGTGTCTTCAAAGACGGTACTCGACGAGTTAATACTTATCTATTTTCTAGTCGTTTTTGAAATTCAAGTGACTAAGTTGAACCATACATGAAATTTTGCATTTACATTTTAGATGGTGAGGGGTCGAGTAGAGTAGGGGTTAGAGTAGGTCCCACTACAACATCAACGTTATACAAATATGTCAAGTTAATATTATATACCTTTTATTCTTTTAACGAATAATTAAAAAAAAAACTTAATTAGAGCGCGGGCCAACCGCGGTGCACGGAGAGGCTACACACGTGTATTAAGCTTCGCTTTGGAAGAAAATGTAAGTGGTTGTGTCCACTGCAACCCACGGACCATGAATGACGGCTACCCATGAATTGACGTCATTGATACATGTGTGGTTTGCTCGAATAGGTGGTTCCATAGCTCAACGCTGTCGACGTGGGTCTACATTTCCACTGGAGTACACGAATATGACTCTCAACTATGTACAGGTCACTTATCGCATCGCAGTTTTCAGTCAGTTTAAGTGTAGGAGAACCATGCTTCGGCACGAATGAACCGGCTCGACCGGAGTGATACCACGGCCAAGCAGGCCCAGGTGCACCGTGTCACGCTGTACGTAGTCGTGGTACATATTCGTGTACTCCAGTGGAAACATAGACCCACGTTGTCAAACAAATTATTACACGCAGCTAAAATGCGCCGCGTGCCCGTGCATAGCATGCGCCGCGGTGGGCCCGCGCCTTTACGCTTACATGGCTCTACTATCAGTTTTATATGAATGCGAACCAAATTAATGTAATAAGTCATAAGGTCTCACAATATCCGACGGTCGCACAGATACAGTAATATTTTTTTAATAATTTCAAAAAGATTAACGTACTTTGCTCTCTGAAACACTACTTGATATTCGATCCAAGAATATTGTTGATACAGATGAAATGGCTTGAATATACATTGCGTAATCTAAAAATGTGAGACTATTTTCTATTCGAAATGAGAAGCGAATGGGACCAAACGAGACGTGTGTTGAAACAGAGAATTCTAAGAAATCCGTATACCAAATCTTCCCGAAATTCTTTTTGATATACGACATAGTTGTTCCCAATCTTTTATGTATATTAAACTCTGCAACTACCACAGAACACCAAGATATCGAATAAAGATCTTGTTTTTTTTTTCTTTTTATGGGGTAAGCCAGTAAACGAGCAGACGGATTACCTGATGGTAAGCATTCGGCGTCGCCCATGGACACCTGGAACGCTCGAAGCGTTACAAGTGCTTTATCGGCCTTTTGGGAATTCATGGATTGGAGAGATTGGGTTAGCGAGATGGGGGGGGGGGGTTATTGAACCTCCAGTAACCCTACTCACATGACGAAACACAACGAAAGCGTTGCGAAAGCGGCCCTTTAGTGCCGAAGTATGGCTCTCCCACACTTGTTCAGTGTTAATTATCTTACTTAAATCTTCAGTGAAAGGCGCGTAATGTTATTTTTAATTGTAATCTACAGTTTAACTGTATATTGTGTTAGCGAACATATACAGTTTGGTTATAAAGCATATTATCTGTCATTAATATTAACACTTCAATTATCATACTTGAAGCGGCGACAAAGAGCCAGACACTTTGAGAACCTCTGACCTAACTTATTTTTGTGTATCTTGCCTATCAACCGTAAAATTACATAAAACATCAGCCATTTTTATTTAGGTTAGACCTTAGACCTTCATAAAATGGTGGTCAAGTCTAGCTTAATGTGTGGGAAGAAGACACGTATAAGGTCAAATTGATTCTTTTAACATTATGTTATGTCTAAGTAAACGTGTTTACTAAGGTCCTTCTTTTACGTTACGACCTAACATTAAACAGACATTTCAACGTGTCGGCCATTTGCAAACATCAGTTGATTAAATTCCCTTTGAAGTGACTTATGCGGTTTGTCGCTAAGGGACAATTTTGAATTGATTTTTTTTTTAACTAATTATGCAAACAAACTGTTGAAGTCAAATCGTTTATTTCAATTTGATTATTTTAATTTCATTACTGTTACTTAGCTTTTTTACGTCAAAGTATGTACTTTTAAAATAAATATATTTTTTGTTTTTAGTGAAGTCATTTATTCGTTTCATTTATTTAGATTCCTATATACCTATCTAATTACCTATATTACTATCAGTTTCATAATCTCGAGATATATGGAATACATTCCAATTTCCCGAAAACATCGCTCTAAATATAACCGCAATCTCAATAGTAGACTAACTCAAGATTATTAAACTGACTTGCTATTGATGTCTAGTCAATTGGAATGTAGAATCTATTAATAAAGTGCTTAATCTACATAGCATTAATTCGTGTAAGCTCTTGGTATTTGCACAGATGGAATTTGACTACTTGAATATAGTCGCACAAACAATATAATATCTACTACTTGTGTGGTAGACACGACTGCATAAGGGCTCGTACACAAAATTCCGATGCGATGCGAATTCATGACGCAAAAAATAACTATGCGAATTGCTGCGATGCGATTTCGTGTGACAAGGCGTCTCCCAGGGTGACCATTCCTTAGGGAGCCGCGGAAGGTACGGAGCCGCGGAAGGCCTAACGGGTTGCCGGGGCTCCGGCTCGAAGTGCAGGAGTAGGAACGGGGTGATTTTTAGTCAGTAAGAGTCTGACACTCCCTTTCGCCAAGCCAATCGGGACAAGTCTTTGGATGATTTTCTCCCCTTGAAAAAAAAAGGTGACCATTCCTACGACGACCGTCAACCGTAATAAACGTATTTTAAATTGAAAACTAGGTCGTGACATGGATCGTAAAAAGTTTGCACTTCTGTTATTACTTAGGAGATACAGAAAAAAGGAACAAAGAAGATTTTGGAAAGATAAGAGTTTGATGCGCGATGTGAATCAATTTGCAAATTCTTGCGATGCGTATATAGCTCGCACATTTTGGGTACGCTGGCTGGGCACAGGGCAACGTGTGGCGGGTTCGATTCCCGAACGGAACAACTCTTTGTGTGTTCCACACATTGTAGTTGTGGGTCTGGGTGTGATGTGTATGTGAACTTGTTAGTGTGTAATCGCACTCACGACCCAGAAGAAAATCCTAGTGCGAAGCAAAGTTTAAAAAAATGTAGAAAAAAATGAGTTGTACAAATCGATCATAGTCTCGTTTCGTGTGCTCTCTCCGCACATACGACGGTCAATGGTTATATAGAGGTACAGCGGGATGTGGAGCCGTCAGACTGTGTGAAGTTCCATTCAACGCTTGCTACAGATCTGTAACTGGGTGCCATTGTCTGATAAACTTTTGTTCTATTCAATCTGTCTTGATACTGTTGAATTACCGTTTTATAGCCAGCATTGCAGTTTTATACTATTATTCAGTTTAATATATTGTTTCTAATTGTCATTTCGTCATAATATCACTGTTAAACTGTAAAACACCAAGCGTTCTATAATTGTGTCTATAATGACGGTACTCGACGAGTTTAGAAATGAAGTTTTCTTCTTATCAATTTCTTTTAAATTCAATTATGTTATCATAGGTTGTTTTTATATTATTGTTATTTTATTCTAAGCTAATAAATTGATCAACTTATTAGACATTTACAATAACCAGAAGTTTTTGAAAAAGATAAATATGAACTTATTTATCGATGGCAAAATAAACAAAAGTTCTGTGTATAAAATATTATGATGTAATTTATATCTCCTCGTCTGTTGATTGACAAACAATATTGACTGCTCGTTCCCATATAAAAAACCATTTCCAATTTTATGATTGTAAGTAATTGGGTCACAATTTTTTGGTTTATAATACATACATTTTGGGTTCGTCATGAACATGTTTAAAACATTTTATTCCAGTGTTACAATGCAAGGACTTCAGATATATATAGGTATATTATTTTTTAATGGGACAAGCCCACCACAACTTCCCAAAACCGCTGCAACTCCTGTAAGCCAGAATCTACAGTAGATACAACCATGGAAACACCGGAACACTGATGTCCGGCGCGTCCCAGGGACATGAGTAACTGTCTTGGTACCCGCAACGAAGTGAATCAGAAGATATTATAAGAGAAGAAAAAAAAAGAACTAAGTGGAACATTTAGCAGAAGTAAAAACGGAGTGCTATTTAGTCAGTAAGAGTCTGACACTCACTTTTGCCTCACTCGGGCGGGAGAAGTCATAGGACGACCCCCCCGCCCCAAAGTAATTAATTATGAAGTCATAAGAAAATCATTACTATTGGCAAAGTTTACAGTAGTAAACTTTTAAACTAAATCCTTTGACAAACTCACTATACCGGGCGTTTTCCCTGTGGTTACTCGCGACGAGTGCATGCAAATATCGACTAATGGATCGACTGCCAACTTTGTCGATTGTTATAATTATATTTTTAAAAACAAATAAAGTTTTTCTTACTGTATTAATGACGTGCAGTGGTGTCCAGCAAACGAAGAACTCCAAGATTATGACGAACAGCATACGTATCACCTGGAAAAAAATGTAGTTTTAATGTTCATTAACTACAGTTGTGTCAATGTAATTAATATTTAAAGGGATTCCTTATTATTCGTAATTCACCATCTTTACTTAATACTAAAAATTGCCTCAGATTTTTTGGTTTTTTTTTCTAACAAATTAGGCTTTATATCTAAACTCGCCAAACTTTTACGTTTGATGGCGAGAGATGCTCATTAACTCGTTGAGTACCGTCATTATAGACACCGGTGTGTTCGCGGTGTTTGACAGTTTAAATATAAACAATTCAATCTATCTATCTATCTATCTATCTATCTATATAAATAAAAATGTATTTCCGTTCGTTAGTCTCGCTAAAACTCGATGACGGCTGAACAGATTTGGCTTATTTTGGTCTTGAAATGTTCTTGGAAGGTCAGGGAAGGTTTAAAAGGTGAGAAAAACTATATATAGGCGGTACGAAGTTTGCGGGTTAGCTAGTAATATTATAATAATGTAGGTAGGTACAATTTCAAGTGCAATGTCTATACTAAGATTTATCCTATCCAGGCTAGATGGTATTCAAGCAATAATTTAATATTACCTAACTAAAACTCGTGGGCTACTCACGTGAATAAGTATACGGAGAAAAGCTTTACTAGCCATGCCAGTAGGCTGCGCGACATCGCCGCAACCGCGAACGCTGCTCATGGGAAAGAACCCCGCTCTGGTTCGAAACTAGTAGAGCTTTTCTCAGTATATTCGCGTGAGTAACCCGCGATTTTTAGTTAATTTAGTATGTCTCACGATAGTTATTATAAAAATAATAATTTAATATATTTTTAATGATAAATATGTTTGAAGTTCATCAATTCTGAGGAACGGAAAATCGTACAGTGCAATTTCCTTTACTAGCATTATTCAATTGTAACAGCTGTGACAATCTACTAGAAATCTTACTCAAAAGCTTTAGTTAAGATGGGGTTCAATTTCTAATTAATACGCTTGGGATGAAACAGATAGATAGCTCTATTCAAGAGTTTGAATCATTATGGAAATGAGTATTGTGTTAATATTGAAAAACAATTCTGAGGTTATTAACTCCATATATTTATGTAATTGCCGGCCTCGTTGGCCGAGTGGTCGCAAGTGCGACTGCTGGGCAAGAGGTTTCGGGTTCGATTCCCGGGTCGGGCAAAGTTCTACTGGTTTTTCAAAATTCTCAGTAGTTGCACGGAGTCTGGAATTGTGCCCGGTATATGGCAATAGGCTCACCCCTATTACATGGGATTCATAACATAAATAGCGAAAAGTGGGTGTTATATTGTACTGTGGCATAATGTGCACCTCTGCCTACCCCTACGGGGATAAAAGACGTAATGTAATGTAATTTCTTTCATTTCTTCACATTTTCTTATTTCTGTTATCATAGATAGCGCTATTCTCGAATCAAGGCCCTTGGTCTTGTTGGTGAACGATAATGACATGAAAATATTGGATCGGAAGTTTTCACTTCGTGCAAATTACAGATCTATTATATATATATATATATATATATATATATATCAAAATGAAACCCGTTTCCCGTTGTCACGCCATAACTTGGGAACGGCTAGACCGATTTGACTGATCTTTTTTTTGTTGTGTTTGTTATTGTCAGGAGAAGGTTCTTACGACAAAAATCGGAACGGGAGAAAACAGGATTGTGCGTACGAAGTCGCGGGCAGAAGCGAGTACTAAATTAAAAATCGATATACCTACTAATTACAGTCTTTGTCAAAAGAAAATAATGTTTTAAAGCGCTTTAGAATAACTAAAACGCTCCTCTCTGAATTTGTAAAAAATCCTTGTTGACGTGTAATTACTAGAAGCATAGAAGGCTGGCCGTCCTCGTCGCCATTGAAATTCTTACTTTCAATGCAGACTTGATAAAGCAATCATATTTCTATTCATCGTTATAAGGGAATATCGCCTCCATCAACCCATTAAGCAGTCAATGCGGGTTTAATAAAGTAGATTAATCAGATGAAGAATTTTTCCATTAGTAAACATGAACTTAATCGCAATCCCTTACTTTACTTTACTTTTTACACTTAAAAGAAAATTATCGAATTCTATTTTCGGAGGTATATTCTGTGTGTAAAGGTTAAGTATGGGAAATGCTTGCATGCTTCGGCCCGAGTGGGCCGGCTCGACCGGAATATTACCACGGCCTTACAGAAAATCGACGTGAAACAACGCTTGCGTTGTTTCGTCGCGTGAGCGAGGTTACCGGAGACCCAATTACCCTCCAATCTTCCGAATCCTCGAATACACAACTACCATCAAATCCCTAAATTGCAGTTCGAGGATTAAAGTAGGTCAAACGATAGTGAATTTTCAAATCAAGGTCATCTATTTGTGTTTTTCTATTGCAAACCCTTATAAGGCAAAGCGAAATGAGTTTTCTGTTCTTTATTGCGATAGTACGGGGCACCGTTCGAGTTGTAGCCGTAGGTATCCAAGTTGAATGTATTCTTCAGGCATTAATCATACAAAGCACGTTGGTATCGACGTCATAGTAAAGCACGATCGATGTCCATTGTTTGATATATTGATGACAGTTCGTAATCTGTTTCTAGGCCTCTAGGCACTAAATTGTTTAGTAGGTATTTATTCACTGAGGTATAAAGAATACTGTACAAACTAATTATATTGACATTAAGCAATGACCACACGCAAACTTAGACTTCTAAGTAGGGTAGATGACTACATTAGGTTAAAATAAAAAAATTGACGAACTGATTGTCAACGTCATAATCATTTGTGGAAATATCATCGTTCTCTAATACCATTTCCTCAAAAAACTTTATCGTTTCTACTTATAGACCCTGTCAACCTCAATCAAGCCAATCCTACTCAAGGGCTGCCTGAAAGTTCTTACTTTTACAACTGAGTCTATTTTTAATACTTCAATTTAAAATCCAATTTTCTGTAGGTATTTACTCTTGCTTTTCTAATCTGTCGTCGCACAGAATGTCAAATAATAATACTTAAGTAAATGTGGATTCGAAACTTAGGCGAAAAAAAAGTAATTTGTACAGTTTTCAATAATAGTGCAATATAGTCGCTCTCTCTTTCATAGAACTTACAACATATGTTAAAGGTACTCTTACGTTATGCACCTTTGTCTTATTTTTAGTTACGGTTTTATTCTCTACGTAATAATTTATAATACCACTTCAATCATCATGAAATTTGCTCTTTAAATATCAGTCTTCAATGAAGATTATTATTATGCATTTTAAGTCTATAAAAATATACAGTTTTGCATATCATTTAATACAATTTCATGGTAACCCTTTTTATGAGTAGTACCTAACTGTCATCCTTCCCACATTTTGTACTCAAAGGAACATTTTTATTATATAGATGAATCATGGGTCTAATCTTCTTCCCTGTTTTTAATGAATGTATAATAAACCTGACATAAATATTCAAAAAAATGTACGCTTTATGTACCCCGTCCAAAATATGAATTCTGAAAGAACGAAAGTAGGTACTATTAAGCTTTGATGAAAGTGTGCTATTAAAACATATATAAGTGAAAGTTTTGCTTTTTGCTCAGATTAGATGCAGCTCCTACCGATTAGTCTTTAGAGATTAAACCCTACTAACGAATGCACCACGCGATTACGTTGAATTTTAGACCTAATTAATGAATTAATTTTTATTTCTCAATTTATTTGATAAACTACATAATATACTATTTATGTACATATATAAAATGGTACTTACTTTCCTCTTTGCTTCTATACTCTTGTCAATGTGTGTTGATCTGACAACGTGTCTAAACTCCAAATCGACGGTGTGCATACAATAGGACTGAGTGCTATTGTTGTCCACGTCCAATCTCGCCTCCGAATCGTCCTGTCAACAAAATATGAGCCAATTATAAAAAAAATAATAAATAAAATAAAAATCGTTTATTTGTAAAAACAGATTACGGAACCTATAAATTGTGATTGGAGCCTCCTTTTAAGCAAGATATGCCTGTGTTAGGAAACTCCGCTCTTTCACAACAAGACGTACATAGTTAATATCTATAAATACAAATACAAACATTACTAACTTATTCTAATTTAAGGACTAAGTTTGAATTAAAAATAGTAGGTACGTACATAAATATTTGTGTGAAACATGTACATGTATTGTACTATCAATAGCTTGTAATAGGTGTCAATGTAGGTGTTGAAGAAGTGCCTCAGTCTCGTGGAAAGAAAGAGTTTTTAACCATTCACTTAACATTTTTTTGGAATCATAATAAGTTTTTGAGTAAATATACACTTGCTTTTTATTTATTTTATTATACAACTGCGCAGACCGTTTGCTAAATTGTGTACTAGCAGACACGGTCCTTGTCTGAGGGACCGTGACTATAGCGTCTTGCCTTCTTCTTGTTGATTTGCTGGCATCGAAAACTGTAGATTTATGTTTTTTTAGAACAATTTGAAGTATATAGAGTTTCCTCACCGATAGCAAGTTACTAATTGTATATAAATCTTCAGATGGGAATCTCTTTTTTTTAAAGTACATACGCTTGATTAGAGCTCGTTGTGCACGCTCCAACTCTAAAAATTTAGTTTTCCCTGCACCACCCCATATAGGTATACAGTATAATAGCACTGACTGTACCAGTGCGACATAAACATCATTTAGCAGATTTTTTTGGCGGCCATCACTGCTACATATATTTTTAGGTACTACATGTCTCAGAGTACTGAAAATCCAACTAAACTTTCTGACTCTATTTACAACCTGTTCAAGGTGAGGGTGCCAACAAAGTCTCTGGTCCATTATAATACCTAAGTATTTGACGTATGGTACTTTGTTTATAATTGAACAGCTACAATTTGTATAAATCTCGTCGTCGTCACAGGTATGGACTTTTATATTAAAGTCCTCAGTGGGTTGTGTTCTATTGCAGACACTGAAGCATATGTAATTTGTTTTTGAAACGTTCAGTGTAAGCAGATTCTTGCTCAGCCACCCAGCTATTTTAGATAAGCCAAGTTCAGTGCTTCGCTTGACGTCATGCCATGTCGCACCAGTAAAGACTACTGCAGTGTCATCGGCATACGAGAAGACTCGTGCGCTTTTGAATTTTAGGTCACATAGGTCATTCACGTAAATGAGAAATAACGTAGGGCCCAACACGCTTCCCTGGGGAACACCATATGTCACCTGTGCTTCCCCACTGACAAACTGTCCCACCCTAACACTTTGCTTCCTGTTCGAGAGGTAATCACTTAGCAGATTGAGAGGTGTACCTCGTATTCCAACACGTTCCAGCTTGTTTACAAGGATTGGGACAGAGACGGTGTCGAAAGCCTTCTTTAAATCGAGGAATGCAGTTAAACATTTTTTACCACTGTCAAGTTGTTCAGTAATGAATGTGCTCAATGCAGTTACTGCATCTTCGGTGGAAATACCTTGACGGAAACCGTATTGTGAGTCGGATAATATATTAAATTGGTTTAGGAATTTTAATAGTCTTACATTGATAAGCTTTTCTATTATTTTAGATATTGTCGGTAAAACAGATATGGGCCTGAAATTACTGACGTCATCCCTGTCCCCACCCTTGTAGACTGGCGTAATGATGGCTTGTTTTAGTGGAGCCGGAAAGATGCCTTTATTGAAGCACAGGTTAGCAATATGAGTTATTATGGGAACGACGTCATTCCCTACGTATTTTAGGAAACAGGCGGACACATTGTCCCATCCAGGGGCACTGTCAGACCTCAGATTCATAAGGATATAAAATAAACCTATGTATATGGGACCTATATATACATATATGTATATCTCTATATTTTATTATAGGATAAACCGGTAAACGAGCAGACATATCGCCTAATGGTAAGCAATCGGCGTCGCCCATGTACACCTGGAATACCAGAGGCGTTACAAGTGCGTTAGCATTAGCATTAGTTAGCATTTAGAGATTACGAATTTAAAGATTGTTGGGGATTCAGGGATTTGGGTGATTGGTAATTGGGCCTATATAAATATATGTTCTATTATGGGAATAAAACAAATTGTTTTCTATATGTGAAGGTAATGAAAGTTGAAGAGATAATATGAGGAAGTAATAGCTCATCATACGAGATAATTGCGATTGCATGTGTTCACAACTGCAGATAATTACTTTAATACTATCACGTCAAATCCAATTTTCAGAACGCTTTGTGTATCCGACGTTGAAATATAATGTCAATTTCATGTTATGTATATATCTTGTGTTATGAATATGAAAATAATAATATTTGGAAATATAAACAGATTAATATAATTCGAATGTTCTTTTACGTTTCATATTTCTTTTTAATCGACTTCAAAAAAAGAAGATTCTCAGTTTCACTCGTATGTATGTTTATAGGTATGGATATACGTATAATTGTATGTATGTTTGTGGGCCACTATCTCGTGATCGGCTGAACAGAATTGGTGCAATTTTTAGAAAATTGTTTGTTACACTTAGGGTCGAAGTCGGTTTTTTAAAACGTAGTTTATAAAAGAGTTACTTTAAACTATATTTAAAGAGTTCATAGCAAAGTTTATCTTGATCCAGTATGGCTAAAGGTTAATGTGATTTAAGCAACTTTAATGTCAATAACTTAGTTCTCTGTATTTTAAGTAGCTTGTGAAGTATAATGCTTGCACCACATGTTAGTATTTTGTAAGTCCACTTAAACTAACTTTGTTAGATTCAAAAAGGGATTTGCAGTAAAACATTTTTGCTCATTTCCAATTGCTGTTGAAAAAGACCAGAAGTCACCATGAATGATACAAAATTCTTAAGCCACGCAGTCCCTTTCATCCCTCCACTTTTTTTTAAGGGCGGAAAATCATAGAATGACTGCTCCCGCCTGGGTGAGGCGGGAGGGAGTGTCCGACTCTTACTGACTAAAAACCACCCCGTTCCTTCTCCTGCACGTGGAGCCGGAGCCCCGGTTACCCATTAGGTTCTCCGCGACTCCGAATCGGCATCGGCCCTATTGGGCCCCATCTGTAGTGATCTGACGTCTCTTTGAGGCGCGCGCGTTCATCCCTCCACTTAGGGTTGTAACTATCTTGATTAGTTTATAGTAAATTTATGTAACAGTGAAGTTGCCAATAAATAATTAATCATCAAGAACACCGGGGCTTTAATTTCACAACCAGCAACCCTACACTTTTTTTAATGAATATGATCTCTCTTCTATTACATTCACACCTACACACTGCACGCACGATACTACACAAACTGCATGTAATTTTAAACTCTTTTAAAGTTAAATCGTAGAGAATCTTGCACTCTTTGTGTTGTTGCATTTTGTTCTGTGTTGTTAAATTTTTTACATCGTTATGTATAACGTGAATCACTAATTTGTTTTTTAATGAGTGTGTTTGTTCTTTGACTTTGTTTTTTTTTCTGTTCTCTGCAACATCGAGTAGTTCGTCTTTCTGCGAATGATGGATGTCCATAATCTGTAACTGGTCCGAGGGGGAGCCTGAAAATCCGTCACAAAGGGAATCCTAGAATAGATTTCAGTATCTCAGAAAGGAGTATATTATTTGCATCGGATTATTGCATCTTATTTCTGTGGAAGGAATGAATGAACGTGTAGATAAACCAAAAATAAATAAATTTATTATTGGTTTATTTTATATATCAAAATAGAACATTCGCACTTAATTTTATACGCCAGTGAATACCATATTTAACAAATAGGTAACAATTTAACTCTTTGAAATGAGTGGGTTAGAGTGTGGCTCTAAATACAAAATTATCGCTGAATTTATAGGGCACTGCGATACGTGCCAAATTGTTTCACTGTTTATGCGTGGCGTACTAACCCCGATTCATCCAATTGCGGTTTAATGGTGTGTGAATTTGACAAATCTACTTAATTCACATTCCTGGAATAAATAATAGAAATTTATGCAGGGTGGCCATGGTGGAACTTATGTCACCTATCATCACTCCTGTTCTCTCTGGGAGTGTTTTAAGAGCCATCTACAATATTATAGATATAACAATTATATACATATATATGTATAATGCTATATATATAGGCACCTATATTGCCTATTGAGTGCTACTGCACTCTGTGGTAAATCCAATTTCGGCCAAGCGAGGGGATTATGTCCAGCAGTAGATTGCCATGCGATGTTGGTGATTAATGATGCTAATGATTAATCAATGCCAATTTTGGTTGTAGGTATGTGGAGTGTAATTTCGACCAGCACCTATCCAAAAGCCATTATAGCTTGTAACACTTCGGCACTTAATGAACACTGTACATGTACGAACATTAGTGTGGGTGGATGAATAGATACTTTGATAGTCTTGTCAAGGACCATAAACTTTGTAACAATATGCCCTGGTATATATACAAGATTCTAGTCATTTGATAGTTTGGCGTTAGCAATTTTAAGCCAATAGGATAATGTAAGTCTTGTCGATGTTACGACCTAATAATTGACCTTGAAATAATGTTACACATGGCACAATATATATGGCACAAAATATGGAAACACATGAATATATAACAATTTTTGTTAGTCTCATCTACATAAGTTGGTCTGTTTTTGACCTGTAAAAAATATTTGTTTGGTATCGCGTATCAAAATTCTCAAACTGATGCGTTGCAGTTCATTCTAAGTTTGAAACACAAAGTAATAAAACTGTTGGTGTATATATAATTAATAGTAACTTGGAAAAGAAATTGTAGCACAGCTATAAAAAGAATAAACCAAGTTTTCAAGTTTTGTGCACTCGAATGTATAAGTTTTGTAAACTCTAATAGGTATCGTTAAATTACACGTGGAAGTTGCACAAAGCACAAAATTTGACCCTGTTCTTGTAATTTGGCAGTACGACCATTGAAGTAAAAGATAAAAGTTTTAACTTTATGTATTGTTTACATAGAAACGCAAATAAATACTTATATATATTGTTTTAAATGTTAGGGTTCTTATGTTGGACAATGTATTCTATAGTTTTGTTTCATCAGAATTTGTTATTAGTGTTTGCCAATTAGTATCGTATAGCCCATTTTAGGTGGAAATTAACCGGTATTTTAACTCTTTAAAAGATAATATTGTATACCTACATTAGATGATAGTCCATCTGTTGTATAGTACTACAATACAATAAATCACTATGGCCAGCACTAATTAATTTCACCAACAAATAGCATAGAATTTTGAAGTACCTAAATCCTGAAATTACATTCGCATCCAACCACTGACATCATCAAAACATGATAATTAATGGCACAGCAGAATGTACTGTTATACTCTGAATTAGAGAGTGTAAACGCTTAAATGGTTGAATAATATTCTGTATGTGTAGCCTTTAATTTATTATCCGCCGTAATATGCAATATGGAGAATACACCATTCGCTATATCTATATAAATAAAAATTAATTTCCGTTCGTTAGTCTGTGTGTACGAAGTGTGCCGGGTCAGCTAGTAACAAATAAATAGATAAGCCTTTATTCAGAACATGCAAATACATGGTAACTAAGAACTAATATTGTTCTCTAATTTGTTGTTTGCTTCTATTATGCAAATCCGTTTGCACATCGGCAAAGGACTCAATACAATTAGCCTTTTATTTTAAAGAACTATCTAAAAAGAGTTTGCACAAACATTTTAAATTTAGTTTTAATATTTAAATTAATGTCAAAACAAATTAAAAAATAGTGACCATGGAGGCTCTAATGTATTGTTCTAATTATTTTTTTTAAGATAATTAAAATAAATTAAGATTTTGCTTAAATTATCACTTTTATAGGTGAAACTACTTACTAGGAAAGATAACAAACCAAATAAATTCCTAAATGCAGCTATAACTAACGAAATTAATACTTAATGCCAATGAATACATTAAGTGTCAGAGAGCCATACTTCGCCACGAATGGGCCGGCTCGACTGGAGTGATACAACGGCCTCACAGAAAACCGACGTGAAACAACGCTTGTGTTGTGTTTTGTCATATGAGCGAGGTTATCGGAGGCTTAATGTCTCCTCTTATCTTCTCCAATTTCCCTAATACCTGAATCACCATCAATCCTCAAATTCCTAATCCACAAAATGCCGGTAACGCACTTGTAACGCCTCTCGTAGGTGTCCATGGGCGACGCCGATTGCTTACCATCAATCAGGTGATCCTTATGGTCGTTTACCGGCTAATTACATAAAAAAATAAAATACATGTGACAACAACACATAGTAAACTATAGACTATCTCCTGACTTACCTTCGGAAGCTTCTTTGTATACCACTTTTTACAGCATATCTCTGCTGAGTTGCTCTTTATCATAGGTGTTGAAGGTATCAGATGATTGCTCTTACAACTGGTTACTGTGGACAAAAGAAATATGTTTAGAAACAGCACTTATCAAAGACTATTGGCCTTAAAAGAACATACTTCATTGGCAGTTACTTTCAATATTCTAGATTTTTTGAAAAAATCCCAGTAATACTTCGCCCGACCCGGGAATCGAACCCGAGACCCCTTGCCCTGAAGTCGCACTTCCGACCACTCGTTCAATGAGGCAATCAACGATGTATGTTATTAATCGACTTCATAAAGAAATAAGGGAGATTCTCAGTGTGACCTGTATGTATATGTCTGTCTGTCTGTATGTTTGTAATTTTGACGCAGTATCCAGAATACTGTTTATTACACTTAGAAGGTTTTAGTAAATTAATTAACGAAGTTCAATAAAGAGGGGAATAAAATCGTTTTTTGAACGAAGATAAAATAATTAATAAAAAAATATTTTAGTATTGACAGTAATTGCTTCTATGACCTTTCAGTCAACTAGGCATCAGAAAAATAAATAGTATTATTGCAGTAAACCAATCATTCCAATAAATAAATAACTATAAAACAAAATACAACACATAATGAAGATTGAAACAGCCTTATTAATGGCCAAAGATTAAATATAAATTATTCACTATAAGCTAAATTGAATCTAAGATAGTAAGGTCCGGCGTGGTCTTTGATCAAAGTTAATCAACCTTTGATAACATTTTGCTACCCACAATGAATCATAAATTTAACTATAACAATAAACCAGTTTAACCTGGTTAAGTAACAACTATGGTTATATAGTTTCGCAATTTTAACTATAAAAGCTTTTCCGTGTACCTTGTACAAAACGCCTAACTTAGGCAGGCCATACAATGCAAACTCTAACCATTTAAGGACACTACAAATTGAATAATAGTTGCCTTAAAGTTCTACTGAATGAAAATGCTACAGGTTTTTTACAATTTTGCTACTGTGTTTGAACATTAGAACATATTTATATCTGTTTATCTTAAAACTTTCGTGAGACATACTAAATTAATTATTATGTTTGCGGCTTACTCTCTTAACTTTTTGACGAGGAACTCGACTAGTTCCTACCCATGCTAGAGGTTCATATTCATGAGCAGCAGCGCAACAGTCGCCGCTTCGCGGGACGCGGAATGCATTTTTATAAGAATAAGTTTTTAATATATATAGTGTTAGAAGCATAGACAAAAAAGAAACCAAACGTCATCGCGTAGCGGGAAAATGTAATCTGTGGTTAGTCGACAACATCGTATTGGAGACTCGGTTGCCAAAGAAGAAAAAAAAATCTGTGGTTCGAACAATGAAAAAGTCAAGATGGCGGGAACTCGAAAGTTATTAAGACAGCGTATTTGATGTTGAGGGAATTTTAATGTATTTGAAAGTCAATTTGCCTATTTATGTGTTGTTGTTGTTGCTGTTTTTCTTTCCAATTAATAGTTATGGTTTTGAGAGTCCTGATTTTGTGATTTAATTTCGATGTTAACAATATAAGGTGCATTGTAATGGTGGTTCTCTTTATTTTTCCTGACTTCTGAGTTTCTAAAATCCAATGTGGTCTAAAACCAATAAGTTTCTAATATCAAACAGTAAGGTTGAACTCTATGACAGTTTTTAAGTTTTCTAATAATAGAACATAGAATAATATGTATAATATAGAATAAGCTTTTCTGTTGGTATTAATAAATTATCTTTACGTCAGCCACAACTGCCACAAGATATGCACTGCAGAACTAACGTCCCAAATGTCTTCCAGATTAGTTGATCGCAAGCAAATTGCGTTGATTTAATTGATGCGAGATATTACCATAAACTAACAAGACCATATTATCACA